TAGAACAAAGTGTTTTTGCATTGAGGGAGTACTTGAGTAGAGGCCCAATGTCCATCTGCTGCTTTAGTACTAAACCTATAAATATATGCACATAGATCTATTTCCCCATTATCATATATATTTACATATGTACATGCCTGTATTTAAACCTTTATAATGCCCTTTGCCTCCTAGTTCTTTCCTCTATTTCCTTTTACTTTCCGCTTGTCCCACTATCATGTTCAGCCTTCATTTGGGTTTCAGTAATTCCTCTTGGTTACATGCCCATGATCAAGCCCTACCAGGTCTCTTACACCCTCCTGGCTGTCAATTCTGGATCACTTGTTGTTCCCTTGCCCCTGGATTTGTTAACACCCACTTCCTTTCCCCAGCTTCCCCCTCTCCGATGCCCACTTCCCCCTGCCCTGGAACCATTGGTCCCATTGTTTTCTCCTCCAGATTGTTTATCCCACCTATCTTATGTAGATAGACCTGCAGAGATAATAATATGCAAAAGACCCCAGTAAAACAAAGCAACAAACAACATAGAAAAGAAAAGCCTGTAAATAGTTTAAGGTCTGTTTGTTGACCTTTAGGAGAGTCTTTCTTTCTTAATAGCAAACTTTCCCCCCTCTATTTATTGTCTTGATTAAATGTTTTGCTCTGGTGAATTTCTTTGCATCTAAATGCTTACCCACAGCCTAGAGTAGCTCTCCCCAAAGTGGATACCCCCCCCCGGGGGGAACAAGAAAATCCAAAGGGAAAACAAGGGCCAAAAAAACAAAACCCCAAAACTTAACCTAAAACAAGAACCAAAAGTGGGCAACGAAAAAAAAAAACCGAAGAAGAATCGATACATTCGAATTAGGGTGCTTGCAAAGAATATTGAACTTACCGTGGGCTGCCCAGAGAACAAACAAATCTGTCTTGGAAGAAGTACGGCCACAGCGCTCCTTGGAAGCCAGGATGGCCAGACATCGTCTCACGTCCTTTGGACATGTCATCAGGAGAGCCCAGTCCCTGGAGAAGGACGTGGTGCTTGGTAAAGCAGAGGGAGGAGGAAGACGGGTTGACACAGTGGCTGCAACTGTGAGCTCGGACTGTGAGGATGGTTCCCGGCGGCCGCGTTCCATTCTGTTGTGTGTGGTCACCGTGACCCAGAACAGACTCGGCGGCACCTGACAACAAACATTGTGTCCTTTTTTGTCTGATAAGGAGGCAATAAGCCCAGGAAGTTTGGGAGCCAGAGTTCTGTTCTCTCCTAGAGGGTCTCTGACCGAGGGTGGGTTTTGGAGTAGTCCTCACCAGGAACCCTAGTGGCACAATGGTTAAGCGCTTGGTGGCTAACCGAAATGCCTGGTCCGAGCCTAGCAGCTGATCTTCGGGAGAAAGATGCGGCAGTCTTTTCCTTGTTTCCTTCAGCGTTTGTCTTAGCTTGTTGGCCCTCAAGGCAAGCACATGTTTTGAATGCTATCCTCTCAGTGTTATCGTGGTGAAATGGACCATTTTCAGTGTCCAATGCAGTGACAGGCATTAGAGTACCCACATTGGGCAGCCAGCACCATTGTCGATTTCCAAAACCTCTCCTCACTGCCGACAGAAATAGCAGGAACTCACCACCTCTGCCACTCTCCTCCCCTCAGCCCCTAGCCCATTGCCGCGGGGGAATCCGAATCAAAAACAACCGAAAAGCCAAAAGAAACCGCCCCTCAAGGCCTCCAAAGCCGGCAACCTGAAAAAAGCCGAAAGCCGCCGTTTTTTGTCCTACAAGTAACTGCTGGGCTCAAACCGATGACCTCTTGATTAGCAGCCGTGCCTGTAACCACTGCTCCATCAGGCTCCTTCCCCAGTCTCTGTTCTCTGTGTTGGGGCACTTGCCTGGTCTCGATCTTGCATGTAAGTGAGATCACACGATGCCTGTCCTGCTGCCTCTGACTTATTTCTCTG